AAACAAAACAAAATCATGGGACAATGTGAGACCTTTAAGGGTCAGCTATAGAATCCAATCACAGTAAGAAAAATGAGGCTCATAGATGGAAGACGTGGCCAGGGCCAACCACTAGTTGGCAGAAGAATCGAACATTATGCTTTCTTACCCAGTAGAATGACCACTTCTGAGTATTTTGTTTTCAAAAGACTTGCTATGGATCTGATTATCCTTCTTTTACTCTCATGTTTTGCCTTGGAGTAGATCACCAGGAAGAAGCTCCATTTTTTTAAGGTAGCAAAGCAGCAGCTCAGAAAAGCATCACTGGGATGACAACTGTCGGGGCTCAAAGTTAATCTTCCCCAGAACATGCACAGGAGGGTTTTGCTCAGTCATACACTTTGTGGAAAACTTCCAGTGCCAGGAGAGCAGGAGCAATTGTAACTTCCGGAGTTTGCTGGAGTCCTCCGGTCAAAGAGCTTCCGTCCACAGTAGAGTGGGTATTGGAGCCATAGAGTAGGTGTGTTTCTCCTGTAATGCTCTGGTTTCTACTATGAAACCATTTGTAGTAGTTGTTGGACTGTGTCAATTTGAGATACTTAAAAGCTTAATTAAATCAGTTTAGCAATTCTACAGCCTAGGGTGTAGAAGACCTGTCCTAGGGTGGCTTATTGCCTAGATGGTATAAAAAGAAAGGAGGAAGGATGGGTGAGATTCTGTCCTCTGGAGGACTCCAGTCTTCACCTTCAGCTTGGATGTCATCTTCTGGCTTCCAGGGCAGACTCTTCAGCTTCTGCCTTAGATCCTTCAGCCTTCTGGCAAAGACTTTAGTCCTCCTGTATAGACTCTTCAGCCTTCTGGGGGTAGACCCATTGGCCTGCTGGTGCAGACTTGCATGGGAAACTGGGGTAAACTCCAGGTACTGGGTTGAGTCCTTTGGCCTCTGCATGCTTCTTCATCCAACTCTTTGGCTGACCCTCGTAAGCCAATCTTGTAATTTCTTTTTCCTTTTTTTCTCTTCTTCTTCTTCTTTTTTTTCTATTTTGGTACCAGGGATCAAACTCATGACCTTGAGCTTGCCAAGCAGCACAAGGCACTTATGCCACTGAGCTAAATCCCAGCCCTAATTTCTTATACAATCATACTTCTCATGTTATATCTATTTTCTCTAGTAAAACCCTGACTAATACAGATTTTGGTACTGGGAATGGGGTCATTGCTATTATGTTGCCTGGCCATTTGCTTAAGAGCCTTGGAAATTAATTTAGAAAGATTTTTTTTGGTCTTTTTTTCATTTTTATCAGTACCAGGGATCAAACTCACGACTGCCTGCTTGCAAGGCAGGTACTTATGCCGCTGAGCTAGATCCCCAGCCACAATTTAGAAAGATTTTGAGAGACTGGCCAAACACTCAGCCTTGTATGCTGTAAACCATATGGGAGACTGTAGTGGGAACCCAGAAAACCAGAGTACTGATGGAAATGCTGCTGGTTAAGATGAAGCTCAGGAAGCTTCTATTGAGGGCTGCATCAGCTGCTGGATTCCAGGTAGTATATTGTGCTTTGGCTGAAGGTTGGTCTGCATTTTGCTTGTGTTTAGCAATATTACCTGGGTGCAGAAAACTTTCAGTGCAGTCTGCTGTTGGGATGGTAGCATGGTTTCTTCTGAGAGCTGGTTGACCAGATCTACATTGGAAATTTAGAGCAAAGAATGAGTAGAGTAATTTAAAACATTTGGTCAGAAAGAAGGCTCCAGTGGAACTGTGGGTTACAAAGATGAAACAGAGGAGAACATAGTTGTTCAGAAGAACAGCACAGTGGAAAAAGGAACTGAAGTCTTTAGCCCAAAGGGAGAATATATTTGAATTGCAGGAGATCCTTGTTTTTTAGTCTTGCCATGGCACATTAGAATTTAATGGGAAGCAAGGCATGTGATTGTAAATGTTCTTTTAATTTGATTTTAATGTTTTGTGTGTTTGTACCCAGGTTAATTAATCAAAGTATTGTGTTCCAACCTTAAATTTTGGTAACCCTTTGAATATTTTGTTTTTGGTGTGGGAATGAGTATGAGTATGTTATACATGTAATTGTTGTATTAATGTAAATCTCAGTAGACAAAGACATATTAACTTTCACAAATCTGCCACTAGAAACTATAGTTTAAGGAAATGTGTATGGTTATCAAGTTGACCAGGGGTGGATTATTATGGACTAAAAACTGGTGGTCAGGGGCTGGAGATTTAGCTCAGCGGCATAAGTGCCTGCCTGGCAAGCGTGAGGTTGTGAGTTCAATCCCCAGTACAAAAAAACAAACAAACAAACAAACAAACAAACAAACAAAAAACTGGTGGTCAACTCAACACCAGCTGAATTATATCAGCATGATGCTGAGTGTAGATGGCCCACCTAGGACTGTTGCCAGGGTAAAAGGAGGCATGGAGAGGAAGAGTGAGTGTTGTGGGTTCTCCCAAGTGTTGTTGTTTGGAGCCGTTGGTTCCCCTGGAGGAGCTTGTCCTGCCTAGCTTCCCCAGTATGAATTAGTCATTCTCATTCTCAGCTCAGGTGTTTTTTCTTGGGACCCTGTCACTGAGAATGGCTGCAGTTCACGCTGGAGAAGCTCTGGCCCTTATTTTGAGCATTGCTTCCTGGATCCAGAGAGGAACATGTGTGCTGTTTAATCCCCAGGAGGTTTGTCACACTGCCTTCCTGATATTGACTTAGCTGTTCTCCTCAGAGGAGCTTGGGACTTCCTTGTCATTGAGGATGGCTGTGGTACTTTTCCAGGGTGTCCTGGTCCTTATTTTGAGCATCGCTTCTTGGCTGCACTGCAGAGCCCTCAACCTACTGGCACAGACCCTTCACCCTGCTGACATAGACTTTCTGGCTTCTACTGCTGACCTTTAGGCCTTCCCAGCACAGAGATACATAAAACAGACTTACACGAGTCATTGCCGTGGGCTTTAGGCCTCCAGTTGGACTCATGGGAGGCATTGTCATGGACTCTAGGTCTTTAGCTGGACTCACGCAGGACATTGCTGTGGGATCCAGGCCCTTGCCTGGGTTTCCGTGGGTCTTCAGTGTTGTGGACAGATTTCCTATACTTTCTTGTATTTCACTCTGGCTGACCATCATAAAACAATTGTATAAATTCTGTGTCTTGTATATAATTGTACTCCTTGTAACCCCTGACTGCAACACCATCTGTATTGCTGCAGTTGTGATGTGTGAGGCCATTATCATGGATAGCCACTGATGGAGCATTTACTGTATATCCTCAGGGTATAGGGTAGGTTCTGGGCTGCAAGGGGATATAAGACATGGCCCTGGTTATCAGAGAAAGGATTATGTTAGTGGATTAAAGCCAAACACATACAAATACAAAGCAATGACAGGTTGACAAGTTTGGCTTTCCTTACAGTTCTTGGAGAATTTGGAGTGTGTGTGCATGTGTGTATTATTGTGTTTCAGTTTCAGCACTGTGAATTAAAACCAGAGCCTCACACTTGCTAAGGAAGCCCTCCACCACTGAGTAAAATGCCCAGGCCAAGTGTCCTCCCTTTCAGTGCACTCTCCTTCCCCTTGAAATCCCTTATCCCACCCCTCTGCCCACCATTAAAGCTCAGCTTGGGTGTTTCTTTCCCCTGTCTCCTCGGCCTGGGTTGGATGCCCCTTCCTGGCTTCCTGTAGTAAAACCTGTATTTTCTCTACATCGCACTCGTCTCTCTCTCTCTCCTGATTCTGGGTTGCTGGGAAGAAGATGGGGCTGTGTCCTACCTGTACCTAGCCTGTGCCTGACGTAAGTAGAAACATAACTGACATTTTTTGTTGTTGTTGTTCTTTTTGCCTTTTTAAAAATTTACTTTAAAGAGAATAAAACAGCCAGGGGTTTAGTTCAGCAGCATAAGTGCCTGCCTTGCAATCACATGGTCATGAATTCGATTCCTGGTACAAAAAAAACCAAAAAACAAAAACAAAGCAAAGCAAAGCAAAACACAACACAACAATGGAAATCAGAGCAATAATGCAAAAACACAGGATTTCAGAACAAGATAGCAGGAAATCAACAATGGTGGGGGCTGGAGATTTAGCTCAGCAGCATAAGCGCCTGCCTTGCAAGCAGGCAGTCGTGAGTTCGATCCCCGGTACCGATAAAAAGGAAATCAACAATGGCTACCATAATGTCTCTTGTTTTCTTTGAAATAGTTGTCCATACCTTTACACACAATAAGTTAATACAAATCCAAATAGTACAAAAGCAATCAAAACAAAAGAATGAGAGCCTTATGGGCCTTCAAAACCAGACACTAGGAAATCAGTAATGGCTACCATAATGTTTATTTTCCTCAAAATAGTTGTCTATACTTTCATACATATTGAAATTGAATAATTGAAAACAGACTAAAACCAATCAAAACCAAAAATAAAAATATTATTGGACTTCAAAACAAAATGATAGGAAATCATCAATGGCTACATGATGTTTCCTTTTCTTCAGCATAGTTGTTCATACTGTCACACATAATAAAATCAACTCTTGTAAACCCTTTAGGTGAAGTTCTAGGCGTATGTAAGCCTATACATGATGTCTATCTTTTTTATATTAGAGGGAAAAACAAAAAAAAACACAAACTATAAGAAAAACAAGAGTCAAATAAATAACTATAAAAAACAGCTCCAAACAATAACAATGTAGGCTTTCAAAACAAGGTGGTAGGAACATAACAAATTTTGTTATTTTGCATATTTATCTTCAAAAATCTTACACGAATTACCAGATACAGTCATGCAAAATTGATCTAATCCTATGGCTGTTAATTATTTTGTTCCAAGAACCAATAGAGTTAGTAGTACAATCATCTTAGTAATATTAAGTGTATATATACAAATTTATACCTTTTTTCTTCCTTCTTTTATCCTTTTCCCTGTCTGAGTTATTTTTTCCTCTTTGAGCAATTTCTTACCCTTTCACAATATTTATTAAATATTTTGTATCTTGTTTACTCTTTTATTAGCTTACACTAGAAGAATATGGAACACTTCATGAATTTGCATGTTATCTTTGGGCAGAGGCCATGCTAATCTTCTCTGTATTATTCCAATTTTAGTATATTGCTGCTGGAGTGAGCACTGTTTCTGTCTTTTTGAGACAGGGTCTCATTATGCAGTTCAGGCCTTGAGCTCACTTTGTAGCCCAGGCTGGTCTTGAACTCACAATGATCCTCCTGCCTCAGCCTCTCTAGTGCTGGGATTACAGGCATGCACCACCACACCTGGCTCTGCAGTAGATTTTTGTCAAATGAAAAACAACAATCCTGCTCTAAGGCCCCCTGCGATACACTTCACTGATCTCAGTAAAAGGAGGCTCATCTCACTGAGGCTGGAATGTCTCCACTTAGAAGGGAAGGAAACCACCTCACTACGGCCCTCTTTGCTCCTTAGCGACCTAATGATAACTCAATCACATTTTGTTAGAATGACCAAGGCTGGCAGGAGTCCAGCAAGAACTTCCTGTCCATTTCGGACAAGTTTACCCATTTACCTGGTTGCTGGGCAGGCGAAGCTGGAAAAATCTAGTGGCTGGGAAACACAGAACAGTCAGGAAAACAAATTAGCCCTAAGTATTTGCAGATTAAAATGGCAAGGAAACTTGATGGAAACAAACATTCAAAGTACCTGCCAGGCTTTTAATAATGTCAGAGGAGAAGAGCCTGGAACCAGCTGGAGGAGAAAGATAAGAAACACATTTATTTCCTCTACGAAGACCACATCAACTGTTCCCCCACTCCTGCCCCTATACCTTGTGTTTTACTATCAGAAAACAATTGGTTGCTTTTCCTCAGGCAAACCTGGTCGTGTACTTTTCTCTCTAAGCTGGAAAAACTCAGTCTATGACACCCATATTGGATCCCTTGCAGCCTCAAGGTGCTGTGTTGCTGTCCGTGGTGCTGACCCCCCCCCATCCCATCCCCGCTCCCCCACCCGCCTTCCCAAGTCTTTTAAATCTTAGGGCTTCTTCTCTTACAGATGACACTGTGATGAATGATAGGAAGGCTCTGGGTTGTGGACGCAAAACGTCTGAAATCCTCTCTGAAAATACAGCTCTACAATCTATGGTTTGAACCCCCTGGAGCTAGTTACTTTTCCAGAATTCAGAATTTGTCCGATTTTAACAAGGTGATACAATATGGTACATCATGATAACTGTGTAAAACCCTCAGTGAGGCTAGAAGCAGCGCCATGCAATCAAACAGATCACTATTTCTCCAGTAAACTGTAGGGCCAGTCCTCCCTGTGTGATCAATAAAGACATTAAATAACCTCTTGACTGGTCAGGTCATAAGTTCAACTCAGATTAACAGATAAAAACAAAGCTGGGCATGATGGTGTGTGCCTGTAATCCCAGAACTCTGGGAGACTAAGGCAGGAAATCCCAAGTTCAAATCCCTCCTGGGCATCTTAGTGAGATCCTGTCACACAGAGGAGGAAGAAAAAGAATGGGAAGGAGAAGAAGGAGGAGAAGGATGAGGAGGAGGAGGAGGAGGAAGAGGAGGAGGAGGAGGAGGCCTGGGGGTGTGGAGCACTTCTGGATTTGATTTAAACTCCAAACTTCCAATTTTAGTGTCTTATATTTCAGAAATTTGGTTAAGGGATTGTGGTCTTCTGTGGTTTCAGCCTTACCTTGGGTCAAGCTACCTGGAAAAACCCTACGGTTGATCAAATTCCCAAGCTTGTAAGCTTCCTGGCTGAGGGCCAGAGACAGGGGTGTGGATGGGAATGAACTCAACGAAGCTTGGAGCATTTGTTCCTCAAAGTAACTCTCCCACCTCCTGCACACACAGGCAAGCAGAGCCTTCCCCACAGGAGAAATAGCTGGTAACTCGGGCATTTGGAGAGCCTGGGAACCTCGGTGTGGTGTGCAGATTGAAAACATAAAAGGTGTTAGTTTTCCCTTCTACCCACGCCTGAATGCCCCTTGAGTGTGCACAAATTCACATCTCTTATCACACAAGCATATGTGTGTTTGGAACCTCCAGGGAGGGGGAAGGATGTTTTGTTGTCAGTGAATAATAAAGGTTTCACCCCGCAGTACTGCTGAGCTCTACAAGAGGTGGTTGATGTGAATTTTTTTTTTGAGACAAGGTCTTGCTCTGCAGTTCAGGATGGTCTTGAACTCAGTGTATAGGCCAGACTGGCCTTAAAATCACGGGATCCTCCTGCCTCAGCCTTCGGAGTGCTGGGATTACAGGCACGCACCACCACACCCAGCTTTGCACTGTCTTTCTTCATCATCAGCAGTTCACATATGAGGCTGCTGAGGTTCACAGGGGTTAAGAAGCTGGGGAGTGGCAGAAGTGGGGACCGATCAGACTGACAGCAGTGCTCACAGCTGTGCCATTCTCTTTCTTTTCCTTCATTGTCCTGGGTGCTGACTTGAGGCTACAGAGGGGACTGAATTTGTGACTGTTCTCTTTTTACACTTATTGTTAATATTTTGGTATCACTAGGCATTTATCACCATGGCATGCTCTTGCTAGTCATGAATTAATTTAACTCATGCTGTGTTTTGAGTTAATTATACTGTGAAATAAGATACACTTACATTTATGATATATATTTTAACTATATATTTTTTTATTTTTGTTTTGAGGCAGAGTCTCGCTAGGTAGTTCAGATTGGCCTTGAACTCACTATGTAGCCCAAACTGGCCTCAAATTCACAGCGATCATCTTGTCTCAGCCTCTTGAGTGCTGGGATAACAGGCATGTACCAACATGTCTGGTCTATATATTTTAACTTTAAAAAATTATACAGGTAGCTTGTAATCTCAGCACTTTAGGAGGCTGAAGTAGAATTGCAAGTTTAAACTCAGCCTGGGAAATTTAGCAATTCAGAAGACCTTGTCTCAAAATAAAAGAATAAAAAGGGCTTGTAGCTCAAGGTGAAGACCCTGGCTTCAATCACAAGCACCACCAAAATGAACAAACAGACAGTCATAATTGCATACAAAATAGGAAAATGAAGAGTAAAAGCCTGCTCTTCTGCCTCCTTGACCAACTAATGATTTATTGTGTACCCTCCACAAGTATATATGTGCTTTTTAGTACACTAGAAGATCATACATAATCTACCATGGCTTGTTATTATTACTGTTGTTGTTATTTGGTTATAGTAATATATTTCTCCATATCTGAATATAAAGAATATCTTTTTTGTTTTCATTATACTAGTTATTTTAAAGAATAAAATGATAAATATAGTACTCAGCCATCAGGGAAAGGAGTAAGTTTCCAGTTACTATGCCCTAATACATGTGAGCATGGCTGTTTGTTTTGGAAGAAGCACAGCACAGTGGTTAAGAACTTAGAGCTCGAGTTATTGGAATCAGACCTCTAGTGGGTCCCTCATAAACTCTGTAAGTTCAGATAAATTCATTGCTCTCAGCCTCAGTTTCTTTATCTGGAAAGTGGACTCAGTCATGGTACTTTCCCTATGCAGAATTGCATAAACTAGAACAGGCGATACAGTTAATGTGCTTTATAAAGCACGTGGCAAAAGGCTATACTTTCAGGGATCATTTCTGTAGTATAAAGCACCTGGTACTTTAGAACAAGATATTGTAGTTCAAGTCTGAAGCACACACACTTTTGCTGCTAAAGCAGGTGTGTAGGAATTTCTCTAAATCTGCAATCGCATCAATCAATGTGTAATTGATACCACTGAAATGGACTTTTGCTTGTTTATGGTATTGGGGGTTGAACCCAGGGCTTTCACACTGAGCTACACCCCTAGCTCATTTTTATACTTTATTTTGAGGTAGGGCCTGGGAGTTCTAGGGTTACAGGCGTGCACTACTAGGCCCAGCTAAGTTTTTATCCTGGAAATCGAGAAGTGTCCTGCCCGTCTCAGCAAACCACAAATGGACCACTGTCAAAACAGTTTGGAAGCCTTTGTCCTCGGTTTGCTGAATCACAGCTCCTGCCACAGGAAAGGAGGCCAGAGGCATGTTAGGGTTCAGCTGTGAGGCCCTGAGGTCCAAGTTAAGAAGCTCTAGCTCTAAACCTGCTTGCTATCACTTTGCTGCGTGGTTTGGACAGAGAGTTTCTTCTCATCAGAGGATTTCTAAACCCCATTCAGCTCTGGTATTTGAGGCTTCTGTTCTGATTCTCAGGATTCTGCCTATTATTATTTTTTAAACCCCCCCCCGCCCCGGTCCCTGGACTATATAAATGTGGAGACCAGAAACTGCTGTTTTCAGAAATCTGCTACGAAGTCTGGTTTGTTGTCTGGTCCACTGGAGAAAGCAGAGTGCTTTTTAGCACTGTAGGCTCAGAAAGGCAGGCTCACATTTGATTCAACCACTTAACTGGGTTTATTGCTTAATCTCCCTGAGTCTCAATTTCTTCCCTTTGTAACCTGGGGTTAAATAAGACCATCAGTGCTAGATCATGTGTCTAGCACGAGCGAGGCCCCGGGTTTCATCCCAGCCCTTTGGTGCAGGGACCTAGCTGGATGAAGTGGCAGCACACACCTGTAATCCCAGCACTCGGAGGCTGAGACAGAGGATCCCTGAGAGCTCAAGGCCAGCCTGGGCAACACAGTGAGTTCAAGGCCAACCCAAACCTACATAGTAAGACTCTGTCTCAGCAAACAAAGAAACAAGCAAACAAACCACAAACAAGAACAACCTCCCCTGTGACCTTAATGATAGCACCTGTTATTTTGGGTCGATTCATTTACAAATATTTGTTGAGTGTTTCTGGGGTCCAGGCTCTGGGCTAGGCACTGTGATATAATTACGAGGAAAACCAGCTTACAGTCCAGTGTGGAGAGACAACAGCAGTTGAATAATCCCATCAACAAATAAAAATGGAACTGTGCCAAGTGCTACTCACAGTGGCAGCAAGCTTCACGAGAACCTATAGCACAGAGAGCTGCTGGGATGGGGCATTTCAGGGAAGGGTTTTCTGGCTAGGCCTCGAAGACTGCAAGGAAGGCACAGGTCTGGGGAAAGTCTTCTCTTACTCACATTTACTATTTCACAGTCCTAAAGAAGACATCCCCAAGTGTAGCTGTGTTTATAAATGAGTCAGGCATCTCTGAGCCACAGCAGGCTAAGGATCTCCAAG